GACCACTGCACTCCAGTCTGGGCAATAGAGTGAGACTCCAACTCAAAAAAAAAAAAAAGACTAGACTCAAAAAAAATTAGAGAAGTGTGGTGGCACACGCATGTAGTTCCAGTTACTCAAGAGGATGAGGCAGAAAGATCACCTGAGCCCAACAGGTCGAGGCTGCAGTTCCATGAGCAGGCCACTGCACTCCAGCCTGGGTAACAGAGTAAGACTCTAACTTAAAAAACAAAAAACAAAACAAAAAAAACCCCCCAGCAAGATCATACACATACATACATATACATACAATACATATTATAATCTTTCAATGAGGAGATATCCCCAGACCAGCGCAGACAGCTATAGGATGGCTAGACCTAGAGCCGGAGTGGGAGGGTGGGCACCACAGTGACTCTGCTGACCCCCAAAGATGACACATGATGAGATCAGGCTGGCGCAAAATCCTGTACTTCGTGGGTCAGTTTCCTTGGTAGAAACATGAAGTCCTACCAGCCTTTAGCTGAAAGTATAAAGTCTCCTACTGGCAAAGGGGGTAGGGATGCTTACAAGGTTGAATCCAAGACATGAGGCTCCTGAAGCCTTTGTAATCATCCTTCTTTCCCTTTTCCTCTAGGCTCCAGCTACTTCATCTAGGAAGTAAGGAAGAAGCCAAGACTCAAATGTTCACTTTGGAGACTAATTCCTCAGGCAGGAGGTTAGCAGCGGGCAAGCAAGAAAAGCTTCATCTGTATTTACAGTCACTCCCCATTACTCCCATTACCACCTGAGCTCCACCTCCTGTGAGATCAGTGGCGCTATTAGATTCTCATAGGAATGCGAACTCTATTGTGAACTGCACATGCAAGGAATTAGGTTGCATGTTCTTTATCAGATTTCTTTCTGAGAATTCTCTTTGAGAATCTAATGCCACTCCTGATCTGCACAATAAATGGAATGCACTTGAATCATCCTGGAAGTATCCCCTCTCCATTCAGTCACAGTTTTAGACAAGTACTTGCTCTTCGAGGACAGGGAACAGGGCAGTACTTACAATTCTCCACCGACTCCAAGCCAGGAAACTGGTTACATCCAGGTGTGGCCACAGAGACATCCAATATATTCTTTCCCAATTTATGCCGTTTTTCTGCAACGACAGGGTAAACTCAGTGTGGCTAACCTGCCAGCAAAAGAATGGGCAAAATCAAAGTCCTGCAGACGGGTCCCCAGTTGCAGCCCCTTGGCTCCCACACCTGTGGTAAAAGGAAAGGGAGGACATGGCACCGCACAGGCACTGCCCAGTCATTTGTTAAACTTTTTCATTCTGGTTGTGCTCTCCTTCTCCTCAGTAGCTGCCCCTGACCCACGTATGAATGATCTGGGTGACAGATCTTCTTAACCAGGGCTCTGTATTTCTGGCTTCCCTCGGACTACACTAAACCCTAACAACTGCCTCTAAACAAGAGGCAGCTCTGGAGCATTGCTACTCAAAGTGTGGCCTGCACCCAGCACTCAGGGAGGCTAAGGTGAGAGGACTGCTTGAGACCAGGAGTTTGAAACCAGCCTGGGCAAGATAGTGAGACCTCATCCCTACAAAAAATTTAAATTTAGACAGGCGTGGTGGCATGTGCCTGTAGTCCCAGCTACTCAGGAGGCAGAGGCAGAAGGGTCCACCTTAGCCCAGGAGGTTGAGGCTGCAGTGAGCCATGATCGTGCCACTGCACTCCAGCCTGGGTGACACAAATAAGACTCCAACAACGACAACAAAAAATGTGGTCTGCAAATTAGCTGTCAATTTGCAAACTCTGTGATTGGTTGGTCACTAGAAAGGAAGCTTACATGATGCCTGCATGTAAATCAATTATGTCAGCATAAACACACTAACATTTTTTTCATAACAAGATTTTTCTTGATAAAGAGATCTGGTGCATACACTTCTTATCTCATCACAGACTGGCATGTTAACTAGTATGGCTCTTGAGAGCTCCAGATGAAGAGTTTCCAATTTTGCAAAAGCCCAGGAGCTGACGTGAGCAGGTGGAGCACAGGACGGAAGGTGCTCCCATACTGAGAAGGCCTGAGATGATACAGCTGATACCTCAGAGGAGACATGTGGCTGCCAGCCCATCCTGCTTCCTTCCTCTTCCAAACAGGCTCTATGTCCGAGGTAGATCTGTGCCAAACTGTTGAAAGCCACCCAGTATGAACCAACATACTATCAAACATAGCTCTACAGACCCAACTATGCAGAAAAAATGCCAAAGCTAAAATATGAACACACTGTCTCTTCCCACCCTCCACCCCCACCAGTCCTTCCCTGTAATTTTTTATTTTTATTTTTATTTTTTGAGTTGGAGTCTTACTCTGCTGCCCAGGCTGAAGTACAGTGGCACGCTTACAGCCATCACAACCTCGACCTGCAGGGCTCAGGTGATCCTTCCACCTCAGCCTTCCAAGTAGCTAGAACTACAGGTACATGCCACCATGCCCGGCTAGTTTTTTTTATTTATTGTAGAGATGAGGTCTCGCCGAGTTGCCCAGGCTGGTTTCAAACCCATGGGATCAGGCGATCCTCTCACTTTGGCCTCTCCCAAAGTGTTGGGATTATAGGTGTGAGCCACTGTGCCTGGCCTCTTCCCTGTAATTCTAAGGGTGGTTCTGACTTTACTGCCCAAACCTGAACTTGAACCCCTCTATATTCCTTCTTATATGGATCCCACTGGCACAACACTCATGACTTCTTACAGCACTAGATTCCGAGATAGGATGGCCTGGCAGAAGACAGGGAGTAAGAATTCAGAACCAAACTGGAGTCGCAAGTGTCACCCAGTTCCAGACAGAAGGAATCCAAGAGTCTCCAACCACCTCAAGAAAGCTTGCTCAAACCTCCTGAACGCTGCATCCCTGCTCTTAGGTCTGCCAAGAACCGAGCCAATAAGGAGTCCTTTCCTACCATCTTGAATAAACAGATTTTCCCTCTCCCAGTAAATACCCGTATCCCCACAACAATACCTGCCTGAATTCTTCAGGGAGAGGGGAACTGAGGCAACTCTGGGCCAGGTCAACTCACAACTCCACTCTTAAACTCCTACAACACAAAAAGACAAGCAGGCTTTCAGGGCTAAGACCACTCTCCAGGCAAACAGCCTACATCTCTACAGGAAGACTCTGCAGGGAGATCAAGGAGGACTTCACCAAGGGGCAGGGTGAAGTCCTTGACCCCACTCCCAGCTCCACACACCACGGAGTACCAAAATCATTGTGTGGCGAGTTCACCTGCATATCTCTACCCAGGCAGCCAAAAGAGGGCAAAAGGCCTGCACTTTAGGTTAATCCTCTGGGGCTCAGTCTGACAAATAAGGAGAAATCACACTCATCCACACACAACCATCATAGCTCACTGCCCTCATAACAAGAGAGGCTGCACAAACACCAGATTTACTGGAACAATTACTTGGAAGACAGGAAAATACCTAATTTTTTGGTTGCTATTATAGCTTTATTTTACTCAAACACACCTGCACTCTATTTCCTACATCTGTAGATTTCTGGGGATTGAAGGGAGTGTCACAGACGCCTTTGAAGATATGCTGACAAGGGCATTTTTCCCAGAACAATGCCCCTAATTTAAGGACTCTTTCTCCAGAATGACAATTCCTCCATTCCCTGCCACCAGTCTGATGGTGAAGAATCCCTGTCCTAAGTTCTCTTGGTGACTCATTTGTGTTTGGGCTGAAAGAAGGAGATTCAGAGGCATGGCTGCTGTGCAAGCAAGTCATGAGACGGAAGGTCTGGGGGAGGCAGCAACATGAGAGCTGGCAAAACAGGAGGGACACCAGGTCATTTAAAAGGATGTAAACAGAGGAGCATCATTGTGGTTTTCCACCTCCGAGTTGCTGCCTTGCCCAGCTCTAAGGAGGGCAGGAAGTAGGCAGGGGATGATCCAGGCGCCTCCATACACACCCATACCCTGTGCCTGAGAAGGACTGAGGTGTGGGAAGTCCGGTATGGCAAGGAGCCCCACGGCTGTGTCACCAGCACACGCACCCCTGAGCTGGCTGAACAGCAGGAACTTCTGAAGCCTCAAGTGCAAAGGAGGCGGTATGGAAAATAGAGCCGTGGGTACAGGGGAATCTGGAAGGGTTGGTTCTGGTTCTTTGGTTGCCAAGCTGTACAAATCTCAGGCTCCTGTTTCCTCCCAGTAAACACTGGCAGGGTGGGACCAGGTCTGACTACTCTTCAGAGCAAACACCTCGTGACTCCAGACAGAGCATGGACTCCAGGGGCCCATTCCAGGCCCACAGCCGCCGCCTCCTCCACCACTTATTCAACCCTGCTTCATGTAAACCTACTCTATTCTTGGGTTCACTGGAAACACTGTATATATTTTTTAAATTAAAAAAGTAGAACATACTAGCTGAAAACATTCAAACAATACAGAAGTGTTTACAATTTTTTTTCAAAGCATCTCTGGCATCCTTTCTTAGACCCCAGTAAAGAGATCACGTCACAGTTCGTTTTCTACCTTTGTGCTCTCTGATAGCATAATTTTGCCTTTCGTCATAGACAGGTCATCTCTGGACGTGGCATTCTCAGAACAAGGACCCTCCTACTACCAAAGCCCACAGCTGAGCTTTCTCCAGACCCCACTGCCATGGCCTCTCCACCTTTCTTCTGTTGTCTTTTCCTACCATCACTTCCTCCCCTGCTGGCCTAGACGCGGTGTTCACCTCAAACACAATCTAGCCAATCTTCTCAACACCCTGGCTCTTTTCTCCTGTCACATCCAGTGGGCAAAACCTTCAACCCTGATCAATCTAATATCTGCCTTCTTTGCTCAAGACCCCAGGTACCATGCCCTCCTGGAGGGAAAGGAGAAAACCAAAGAGCAGGAGTGGGCCACTGTAAAATCATGGCCTCCCTTCTTGGCTGGACCCTTGAAGCTGCTCTGAAAATCTTCTATCTCTACCATTGCTTTTTTCTGTTCCCTCCAAGAGCTATTTCAGACTTGTCCCACCTTCTAGAAGTCTTGATCACCCCCTTCTCTTAATCTCAGCAGACAACCAGAAGATAATTCTCACCCACCCCTGCCCTCTTCCCCTTAACAAAAATATCCACAACACACACCTGCCTTTACTACCCCCCCACCCGTCCATCACCTCACCTCACTGGAAGTGGTTTCCTTTTACCTGGGCTCCGGATTTCTCCTGTCCTTTCTTGTATACATTATTTCCCTTTTTCCCAAAGTCTCCAAATGATCTCTTTCTGCTCATTATTTCCCCATCTGCATTAAAATATTTGCATCTGGGAGGCAGAAGTAAGAGGACTGCCTGAGCCCAGGGTTCTAGAGCAGCCTGGGCAACTTGACAAGATCTCCTCTCTATAATAAATCAAAAAATTAGCCAGGCATGGTGAAAGGCACCTGTAGTTCCAGCTACTAGAAGGCAGAGGTGGAAGGATCACCTGAGCCCGCAGGTCGAGGCTGCAGTGGCCATGAGCGTGCCACTGCACTCCAGCCTGGGCGATAAAGAGAGACTCTAACTCAAAAAAAAAATTTGCAATCTATCTTTCCAGTCTCAATGGCATGTTTCTTAAATGCTTATTCTTTCTTTTGCCTTCCTGTTACAAAGAAACTCTAAAGGAAACATAGTCTGTGCAGCTAAAAAGTTGAACTCCTCAGGGAGACAGATCTAGACCCGAATCTTTCCAGCTGTGAGACTTTGAGTGAGTTATTTACCCTCCCTGAGCTCCAGTTTCCTTATCTGTAGAACGGGGATTGTGGTGGTACCTGTTTTATTGGGCTGCCGGAAAGAGTAAATGGTTTAATACATGTCAAGTACTTAGCTCAGTACCTGGCACGCAGTAACTACTCACGGCGCTGGTCATCTTTGGTCCCCTCTGTGCAGCCCCATCCTTACATCCTGTCTAGTTCTTGATGCACTACCATGCTGTTTATTTTACGACCACTCCTCTGAAAATGGCTTCCCCGAGGTCCTAGATTCTGCAACTAAATTCAAGGGATACCTTTCCAATTCATTGTGCCAGGATGTTCTAAGTCCTGGGCATATGGCAAAACAGACGAAACAGACAAAAATCCCTGATGCTGGAGAACGAATACAAACCATTCACTCCTCCCGGGCCCTCCTG